TTTTGTCCGCTTCGTAACACGCGTGGCTCTGCTGCTTGTAGCTAGCTAGCTAGCTAGCTCGTTAGTCGTTACCCTCGGCGCGCATGCGCAGCGATGGTACTGTAGTTGGGTGTGTCCCTCTGTACTGTCTAGCTGTCTGTCTGTTACTCTATATATCTCACTCCTCGAACGTCTGTTCGTCCCAGAAACGATACCATCTACCCAACGGGCGACGAAGGTCAGAAAGTAAAGGCGGTTTTCTCTGAAAGCGCTCCGTTGCTAAGCTAGAGCGGGAAAAAGCCAATATGTAATTACGGCACGATCGATCCGCGTGCTCTGCGTACCTCGGAGGCACCAGATCAGAAGATGCAACGCAGGGCGTGTATCGCCTCTCGCATGCTATCTAGTAGTGTAGTTAGCCCGCGTCAGACTCTGCGCGAGCTGGCAAGAGACAAAACTAAACCCAGCCCATCAATTAGTAGTACGGCGCATGCGTTTAATAACGCGTGCGCGTCACAGTGCGCCTACACTTCAGTGCATGCTAAAGTCGAAGGCTTTGGCTTGTAAGGTAAATGGGGGTAACTCCGGACATGGGGCGTAACACCGGCCACGAAATTATTTGCTGCTGTGTGGAAGAGGAGAGAGGGAGTAAATAAAGATGAGGAAGAAAGGAGAGGGTGATGTCAGTGTTTTCTACGACAGAGGCTGCATTTTTATGTACATGTCCAATCAATGTTTCAAGAGCTAAAACAAACCCCCTCCTCTCTTTCTTTCTCAGTCACTGGAGCAGGGCAGTGATGGAAAATCACTCACAGAACAGTGTTTGTAGCCCCCTGATCGTGTGATGCTAGAAAATCAGAGGTAAGGGTCTCTCTCCTCTATCCCTTCTCTTCCTCTCTTTTCTCTCACTTTCTTTCCACACACATACTGGTTTGGTCCTCCCCATAAGATATTGTTGTGTGTATATATAGGTTAGACGATGGGTGCGCTCGGGTAGCTACATCCGGCCTCGGGTTTCTGATTTTTACGTATTCACCTCGGAATCCAGCGTCTAACACTTTTATACCATGGCAACCACGCGCATCCTTTCTAATCCAGCTCCTTGGCCTCGAATTTCCAGGCGTACGTACGTACGCACGAACGAATGGACGCGTGTTCTTGACGGTGCGGGCTTACCAGCGTATCCCTGGCCATCGATTTTTCATACTCGCTAACGTTGGAGACATAGCGGTGTATGCCGTACATGCAGTATTCAGCGAGCCTCCTGCCTTCAGCTGTCGACTTGGTTGCCCGCCCGTGTCGTGCCGTCGACCACACCCCCGTGCGTGCTCTGAGCGTTTTCCTTGCGCTTAGCACAACTATCACCTGACTTCCTTAGCTAGATAATTCATAATTCTTTGTTCTAGCTCTTTGCATAAGAAAGACGAGGTAAATAAACAACTATTTATACTATGATTTTAGCTTGTTTTTCTTGTAAATTGGCTTGTTTTCATGTAATCTGTAAAATTTGAAGTGTATACGGGGAAATCGGAAACCTCGTTTTTAGGCCAAATCGTGGTATAAAGATATTATTATGAACATGATGTAAGGAATTTCTATATACATGTACATGTGTGAATACATGCTACAAAGATGTACATAAGTGTGGAGTATGCTTAGAACAAACAATGCTCAATCAACTGGTATAGGCACACACTAAGATATACACATGTAGCTATAGAGTGTGTTGGAGCATTGCTATCCGAGGGGAGGTGAGTGGGTTGGAGCATTGCTAGCCTACCTTTGCCTTCTCTCTCCTTCCTCATTTTCCCCCTTCTTTCTCTTCTACTGATGCTGAGAGAGACAAAACTTGTGAGGTTTTGCAGGACTTATCACCCCTATCTCGTGTATCACAAGCATTGCTACTGGTGAGCTACAAAATTTCATATTATGTATACAAATCCACTGCTATCTTAGTGTACTAAGGATGCTGTCTGTTAGTGTTATATTTTTGTTCTGTTGTGCATGGTTTTTTTTTGTAAACCAGTGTCGTATGATATCTGCAGCTTCAAAGAAAACACCTGCACCGTTCTAAATTTAGTACATATAAATTTTATATATATTATAATTATACTCACTGACGTCATACCATAATTATCACTAAGTATGGTAGTACTTAGTATATAGGGATTGGCATGGTATATATATATATTATACTGTGGTACTGTGGTTGTATGACTGGCTGTTTGCATAATATTTAGTGTGCAGTGGGGCCAACTGAGGAGTCCTCCCACTTTAAACCTAATGGACGAAAACCCTCTGGGTTCTTGGCTATAATGTCAAATTACTCATTTCACATTGTTCTGTGGGGGGAGCAGCCCTGTAGGCCTGCTTCTCCCTATATCAAAGTGGGAGTTCTGGGTGGTTGGACAACACCGAACCTCCTCAAACCACTTTGCTGCGGGGGGAAGCAGGCCTACAGGTATGAGTTCGGGGTAGTTCAACCCTGCATCACAGTGGTTCAAGGAGGTCCTGCAGCCGGGTAGTTCGAGGAGGTTCGGTGTTGTCGAACCACCCCGAACTCACTTGAAAGGTCTGCTTGCCACTGCATCACGGTAGTTCAAGGCGGTTCGGTGCGGTCGAACCGCCCCGAACTCACTCGAAACTGCCCTGTAGGCCTTCTTCCCCAAGCAGCAAAGTGGTTCGAGGAGGTTCGGTGTTGTCGAACCACCCCGAACTCACTTGAAAGGTCTGCTTGCCACTGCATCACGGTAGTTCAAGGCGGTTCGGTGCGGTCGAACCGCCCCGAACTCACTCGAAACTGCCCTGTAGGCCTTCTTCCCCAAGCAGCAAAGTGGTTCGAGGAGGTTCGGTGTTGTCGAACCACCCCGAACTCACTCGAAAAGGTCTGCTTGCCACTGCATCACGGTAGTTCGAGGTGGTTCGGTGCGGTCGAACCACCCCGAACTCACTCGAAACTGCCCTGTAGGCCTTCTTTCCCAGGCAGCAAAGTGATTCGAGGAGGTTCGGTGTTGTCGAACCACACCCAGAACTCCATTCGAAACTGCCCTATAGGCCTGCTTCCCCCTGCATCACAGTGGTTCGTTAAGTCAAACCACCCCGAACTCACTCGAAATGTACCGTAAAGAGCAAAGGGCAGGGCTCATTAACACTTGCCCCAGCCGGGTACGACAGATCCACTATAATTATATCAACCGCCATTATTCGGCTTGTGAGGCTTTGGGATAAACGGCTGATGTGCCAACCGGAAGCTGGCTTAACACATTCCTGTCTTGTCTCCTTGCCATCCCTATATTCCACTCTTGTTATAATAGCATATATACACAGAAACAAACTACAATATTCCACGTGTGTATAGTATAGACCGAAACAGACTAAAACATTCCAAGTGGTCAATCAGAGAGGGAGGGAGAACTGGGCATGTGACACTGTACGAATGTAGTGAAAGCTACCCAGAGCTTTGCAAGTTCACGGACTTTACGGGGGGACTCCACATGTAGGTCGTTCAAATGCACCATGATCATAGCATTTTTATTGTCGTCTCTAATTAAAACTTTAGTCTTTACTCGCCCCTCTGCCAACTCGAGTCCCAACATGGCTTGCTGTCTTGGGCCCCATAGGCCTACCATCTGCTCAAGATTCTGGTTTCTGCTGGCCCTATTTATGTCACTCTTTATTTCGACGACCACTGGATTGATGCCAGTGTGAATGTCATAGAGCACACAGTCTGCATATCTTTCGTGGACATGCTCTTGTCGGACGACTGGGTGTTCACCGGAGCTCTCTGGCTCTGTGGATGATGAGATAGTCCTCCGCTGTGATGGTACTGCCCACATTACGTGGAATGCACCTGGTTGATTGGGACCAACCGATGTGCTTTGCCGGCATCTGTAGCGGTCGGGGTTGCTCGTGGAGAGCTTCAAGAATTCACCGAGTTGCACGATAAATGCCTTTCCAGGGGCATTGTATGTGCCATGTGTCCTAATGACACTATAAGCATCCCTGAGGTCATCGAAATTGTACTGTAGCTGTGCGAGTGACTCTTTTTCGAAACACGGATGTATTTCAAAGTCTGGCGGTCCCTCGTCCCCTGAGTCGGATCCTGCTGGCCTTTCCGGGCTCTTCCTTGGAGTGATACTGTATACCGACTTATCCGGGAGTTCAGGTAGCAGACCCACCTCGTCACATACAAGTTTCGATCGACGGAACACTTCGAGGTCGGATTGCACAGCAGGGGAGCACTGAAGGGTTAGCGTTGTGCCTGGACATACAATGTCAAACTGATGGTGTGCTAATGACAGGTCGTAGCTGGTAGCTTTTCTCTCCATAAAATCAAAACGTTTCCCCCCTACCTCCACCCTATCCACTGTGTCCCAATTGTCGATGCTGTAGGCGAAAATCTTGTTGCATTCATCCTTTTTCTTTCTTTTTGGCCAGAAGATCCCACGTTCCTTGACCCTCCTCTTTGAGGAGACAGAAGAGGGACCAGCCTCAGAGGTGGCGGTAGAGGTGCCCACTTCATTCATAATCTAAGAGTCCTGCTCAAGAGAGAGGAGTGAGAGCAAGAGAATGAGAGCGAGAGAAGACCAATCAGACTGCGTGTACGTGTAGGTCCAACATCATCAAAATAATGACAGAGTACTGCACACCGCAATAATTATATAGTGCTCTCGTCGAATGTTCTAGAATTCCTATATACACGCTATGCCACGTGTGCCATGCCGCGCGCGCCGAAGCATTCCCCTGATTGGGTGGTCACGTGCACTGGTTGCGTGGTGACATGACGTGGTTAATTCTGCGTGAAAACCAAGTGAACAAGCCAACTATGCAAATTAGCACAGGCTTACCTCGACCGGGTCCGCTTGCTCTGTTTATCTTGAAGGCACAAGAAGTCACAACGAAGGGCGTGTATCGACTTCCGCATGCTATCTACTACTGTAGCTATAGCCCGTGCCCGACTCTCCGCGAGCTATATAATAGCGCATACAAATAACCCAGCCCATCAATTAGCAGTACCGCGCATGCGCAGTTTGCCGTGGGTTCGCAGCGCGTGAGGGTTATGGTACACGGTGTGTGTCAGTCAGTCTGTCTGTTACCACCACCGCGCGCACGTAATTCGTTTTTATTGCATGGCTAATATTATAGCGGTTATGATCAGCTATTATGGCAGCATTCAGCACCCAGTTTTTGTGCAGAATAACCAGATAAACTATAGCAACAAAAAACACACCATCAGTGAAAGCATACTTGAAGAAATTGTTAAAACGGGGAAAAGAACTACATGATAGAGCTATAATATCTGTTATGATGATGGACTTGGACAGATAATTATTAGAGGGGTTATGAACTATCCGGTCATGAAGGAACCACCACCTCCTCCTCTGCTGTAGTTGTAGTAGAGCCGTCTGAACTGCTCCAGGAAGACAAACGTGAGAACGGTGTGGGGACCGAGGCGGGCGTAGTAGGGAGTGAACCCCTTCCAGAGACTGAAGAACCCTTCCCTCTTGACCAGTTTACCAAGAACCTCCTGTAATAATACAACACAAAGAATTAACAAGCAGATGTACCATGTGTGGCCAAAATTGCTTCATTCTCAAAGCATAATAATTATCCAACATGTGTATATGTCCCACTTCCGAAGGCAGTACGGTATAATTATAATTACAGTGGGGCACTTCCCTATAATAATGTAAAAGTCACTTGTTTCGATCTCATAGTGACGGTGGATGGGTATACTCTCGTGTATGAAATAAAGGACACTGCAATTTTAAAGGTCCTAGTGTGTTCTTTATATGGAAGTTCAAGTGTATGACAATGACCCATGTACAAACATGGTGTACTAGTGCAGGAAGGACATAAGTACACGACTAGTATATACCTTACAGCAGGAAATGTTGGAGCAAAAAACTATGCAATTTAGTAGTAAACAAGGAGAAAACTTGGGGATTCCCTGTCCTGAGTACAAATGTCTCTGCCCAAAAGAGTTTTGGTGGATTGGCAATGGTTCAAAAACTCCCTGAAAAATATTTCCCATAAAAAGGCTTGGGAGCACCGCTATGATTAACCTCTCTCTGTTAGATATACTTGAGTATTGGACTAAGTAGGGCATAAAGGCTTGGGCTAGGGTCTCAACCCTTAGCCGACCACAGGCATATATATATGCCCAGAGCCTCCATAAGTCCATAAGAATTATATTATGGGTATAATACTAGGCGTTAATATGTTATACATCATACCCATGGCGTCCAAAGGGTTTTAATTAATGTTGAACTGAGTATGTATATATACTCACCAGTGACCCTGAATACTCTGGTTTCCCGTCAATTATCTTCATATTCTGTATTCTGTGTCAGGGAGACAAACATAATTATAAAAACACAGTAGCCATAATAGGAAGAATTGTACACACAATGCACCATCGTATACACAAGACTCTATGTACCTACTATACATAATGTGTGTGTAAGTACATAATATAGTGTAACATGCGTGGGGGTAGTATAATTATTATAGCTATATTATGTACCTGGTCTTGGCAATGTCGACTGGCATGGACGCAATAGTGGTGACAAGACCACTGATCATACTGGCACAGAAATGACATATGATGTTGTCAGAGAAGGAATCTGTGCCAAGAGGAAATAGAGAGTCGTCGCAATGGTGTTAGAGAGCTAAAGTGTTTCCTTACCTAGACCCAGAAGGAATTGTTTGGCTTGGGAGTAGGTTCCTAGTTGTGCAGCGTTCACTACCATAGCCCTTTACCATGGTGGGACCACAGCCCTGAGTGTGTGGGGGAAGTGGGAAGGAAATAGGGAGGGAGAAGAGAGGGGGGATAGTGAAGGGGTGCAGAAGACAGAAGGAAGAAGAGAGAGAGGCAGGAACAGGTGGAGAGAGAGAGAGTAATATTCGGTCCTTCTTAGCTATGACCATTATGTGTGCAAAGCTCAACTCTATCAGTGTACATATGACAGCTGGTGTAATGCCTACCCTCCAAAGAGTCAGCACTCCCTCTTCTCTGGAAATACGGAACAGTGCGTTGAAAGCACTGGTGTATCCCCTCCGCTCTGCCACTGGTAGCCTGTAACAGACACAGTACATGGCGTATGACACACAGACACTCTAACGCAGTAAACAACAGTGGGAGATACACTAGCAATACGATAGTGGGAGATAGGGGTAATAGAAGCTTTAGTAACCAGCTTGAATGTCCCATGCACATACATATGAAGGCTATATATATATCCTTTATGCAAGCACCACAAAGTACATTGTAAGCACATACGTAAAAGGCAATAGGGAAACTTAAAGTTGTTCTGCTATGTAAGAGATAATGTGCGTTTAGAGTTCTATATATGATTTATGGGTCTCGAGACCACAACCAGAGTTCCCATAAGTCATGTATAGAACGATAGGACGCACATAATGTGTTTTATTGTGACTTTGTAGCAGTCGTCGACCTCCAGCGAGAGAAATAGACGCGTAGCGTACTACCCATGTGCATGCGTACTCGTTGGCTTCTCGAGCGAGTTCTCTGTTCTCGAGGCTACCGTAATCGAACAAGGTCGTGATGGTGGCTCTTTCTCCCTCACTCAGAGAAACTCGTTCCATAGGTCGCTGGGCCGTTTTACCGGTTGGTGTGCTGCGGCCGCGGTCTCGCTTGCCACTTGGAGCTGAATGAAGGGGTGTGGTCACCTCAGCCATCCCTCGCCTCTACAGACTCTACAGAACAGTGTTTGTCTACACTATGGGTACGATGCTGATGCTAGTTCAATAATGTTTATTGAACGTTCAATATTAGTCATATTGAACGCAGTGCTACGATACGGGAAATAAAAGTATGCGCGGCTCCTTTGATCCGCCCACGCAAGTCACCATAAGTGTATCTACTGTACAGAGAGTTATCACTATGAGAAAGAACATGAGGAACTTTAGTTGTGTAGGTCTCACCTGCCATCAGAGGTCATTCTGATGAGAGAGATCTCAGCTGGAGTACCAATGAATGAACCAATCCCACCAGCCGTCACACCTACAGACACACACTCAGTCACTCAGTCAGTCAGTGGTCAGATCATGCAACATTATGTTGTACCACATGCAGAAACACTACACACACACACACACACACCACACACAATGTAGCAGCGACCACATACAGCCACTGTATATGGCCACCTCAGTAATGACAAACACTAACAGGCAAAATGTTAAACCTTCCTGATAGGTGAATGTCAGGGAAAGGGATGAAATTCAACTGACGGTCCACTGCCAATTCCATCTAAGTTGCCACCTCACTACTCAAAACTTTATTGTGTCAAGAGGGTGCCTCTGCTAATGTAGGACTGTGGTCAATTTACTGGAGGTAAGTTTACCCTGAGGTGAACCAGAACAATAGCTGAAGCACATGTATGAGGGGGAAATGTCATTGTGGGTTGTACAATAAAGATGTGTGCATCTCGTCCTCTTCCTCCACCATGGTTTATTGTGTGAGGTGTTTCCTTGCATCCTGACTATTGATTGATGGGAGGAAGGAGGTCAAGGATATAGTAGCAACCCATGGAGGATATGATATATTGTATGACTTCCAGTAGCTCTGTTGCACAACCCCCATTGGTGTCTTAGTAAGGCTTGGGATTCCTTACATTCAGCAGCCACTTCCATAGATAGTGGCTCAGCTGACTTGTGGTCAGCCCTGACAGGAAACACCCCACACACACCTCCTGCCTACCCATGTATGTCATATCATTATCACCTGATGACCCACATTATTCATATACACACACTACATATATACACTGGGTCTGAGGTGAATTCATGTGGTGCATATTTCTTTAACACAAGCATGTGGACAATGACAACCACATATGTACCTCTACCACCTATGGACTACAATATATATATACATATAGAGAGACTAAGCTGATGATTGGACCCTCTTTCAAGGTGCTTAGTAATATCTCATTGAGGCCTGGCTCTAAAGCAAATGACTGACAGGGTGGGGAGCTGCAAGATGAATCTTGTGCTACTGACAGGACATGTTGCTGCCTTGAGCACACTTGATTTTGGTGTTGCTGCCACATTACTATACACATCACTGTGGTGCATTTCAAACATCAGCTGTTTGGGTGTTGAAAAAGGTCAACTCTCTTTGGGGTTAGTTTGTTGCTACATTTCACCTGGGACTCATAATACCCTAGAACCAACCACAAATGATATATAGCAGGAGGGCTTTGACAGGAATGCAATTGACCTCAATGGATCCACCTCATTACACCCAATGAATACATAATACATGGCACTGACCCAGTCAAAAGTGGTCTAAAGTTCACCAATTGTACAAAGTGTGCCAAAAGCCTATACAGGTACATTAACTGTATACATACATACAATACCCTGTAGTATAATTATTATGTACATTTTTAGGAAACAGTATATGGCACATGTGACACTATTACTTCACATTCTGGGGATGCCACAGAACCTCAGGAGACGCAGATCACCCCACTCCATACATGGCTGAATTAAGTTTACCTAGGTAGTATAAAGGCATGTCAAAACCATCGCAACTTTTGTATTCTTTCGCTATAATTGGCGAGTGGGAGCGAGCCAACCTAGTCGTGTCAACGGGCGAGGAGCTGGAAACACGCCTTTCTTGCAACTGTGCGGGCACAGCGTGTAGCATTACATGCAACAGATGCACCAAGCTATAATGCTCCATGGGCACGCTCATCAACGGCTGTATGTACGCAGTTGGGTCACTCCCGCTTGCCAAAATGCTTAGCATCCATCTAGTATACTGTTGGTACATAGTATATGCCTGTAGGTATGGTCACGTGATCACAGTGGAAAACAAGTGTTATACACTAAGCAATGCAGGTCTGAAAACTGAGCCCAAACACAGACATCACATGCCCCCAAACAGCCCTTGTCTAAAAATGCAGCACTGGGATAGCTGTTGGTCCATATTAGTCATGAAACCCTATATTATACCACTCATGCAGTAGACTCCATAGGGCTTCTTCCTGCAAGCAAGTGGCTACTTCCTGGGAGGCTATGGAGGTGTGCCAGGGGCGTCTATACAATGTCCACTTGATACCCTCACAACCTTACTTCACCATGTGCTAATAGCACACCTCACTGTATGTGCAAGATTTCCCTACCCACAGAGAAGGCAGCTAAAGTGATTTCTAATTGGCCTTCAGTTAGCCTGACACCACGATACAACAAGAAAACCTCTACATCCTTGTAGCAAAAGCATATGGAATGGTGCTAGACTTCAATCTCGTAAAAATGTGTATGCATACGAATGTACAAAATGTAACTTTCAGGTAGGATGCAACACCCAGTTTAGAGAAAGTAAATTTGGGGGCTAAGCAGAAAACAATGGCAACTTTTTTACATCACACTTGATCATAATTATGTATAAATAATCCAACTCTTTGTGTGCAGCTATAATAGCTCCATAATCAAGACATATGTATTATGATGATGCAGCTTACCCATTCCAAGTTTCATCAGCAAATTTGGAGGCTTTCCATCAGGTCTGCAAGGGAGGCAGGAGTAGTTAATCATATGACTTTACACTCTCTCCCTCTCCCCCTCCCTCTCCCTCTCTCTCTCTTCTCTCCACCCTTTCCCATAAACTTTTTGAGCTCTGTCTACTGAGGTTTCCTGGTAGCCCAGTGGCAGAGCGCTCTGCCTAGAGAGAAGTGCCCTGTGGGTTCTAGTCCCACCTACCAGGACAGCTGTATATTTTCAAAAAGTGTTGCCCTGGGTGTAGTTGCACTGTTTCATAATCATTTGCTTTGCGCTGAAGTCCCCTCATTCTACATAATAAGTGAACCCTTACTGTACTAACTCACCCAGTGAATTTGTCATAGAGAGACTGATAGATGCCAAGTCTGGTGGTACTGTACGTGGCTTGCCTCAGCAGTCCTGCTGACAACCTGTACAAACGGTCCAACATCATGCCTAGTGCACGTAATTGGCTGCAAACAAGAGGGGCTCACCCGTTGTAGAGACCCAGAACACCCTCGCTGCGAATCACCCTGGATATGGCGTGGAAACTTGTCTTGTGCTCTCTCACTGCCCCTCCCTCTCCTGCAATACACACAGTACGGCAGCAGAGAAACAGACATAAAATACTACAGTCTGATGCACACATGAATTATGTATGTCAGGTATATATGAAAATCAACAACACGTATAATAGGACAAAAATTTTTCATGTGTGCCAAAAGTAGAGGCAAAGAAATGTAGCAGCACAACAAAGGTAATGTGGGGACTATGGATGGAAACATGCCATAGTTAACTCTATCACACCACACAGTGTGTCCTTCCCACTATGCACGACTAGCTATGGCATGAGAACACTAGACTAAGCTCTGTGAATTTGGGGTGCATTCATTGTTAGACACACAGTAAGTATCTAGTATCACACCACTTCCCCACACCCCCACTCCCTGGCATCCAGGGGCATCTGCACCATAGATCTGAAATGCAACGGTATTGTGCCTCAAAAAATTGGGGTGGTAAACCAAGGAATAATGATCTTTGTCGAAGCAAGACATTTTACACCTTAAAGGCATCATTGGGGACATTTATAAAGCTTGGTGAAGTATTCTGTCTCTAAAACCATTGAAAATTGGTATGTATGTGGTAAACCATAAACGGGTATTGCTCGGTAGATAGAACATCTTCCCCATACCAAAACCAACTGAATACATACACATCCGTCTGTGCAAAACATCAAACTCTTGTTTGTGTGGAAACTACGGTATGGCAGAAGGTGCATATACTCACCACTCATCTGCATGCGGTTTTTGACCAAGTCGAGGGGTTGCACAAACAATGTGGCACTCATCCTGTGTATTGGGGAGTCTCCGTGGTACAGGGCCTAACTACTGGCGATTTAACAGTAGCTACTGGAGGCTGAAGGTGTACCATACAGTAGAGGTGCTAATGAGAACTAACGCGAGGAGAAATCTAGTGCAGCAGTAAGGCTTCAAAGCCAAAAAGCATGATGCAAGAGCCACTATCGTTTTTGGAAAGCCACTAGCTACGATAATTGATTTGGTCATCAGTGTTTGGTTGAAAGATTGCCACATTGTGAGTGTAAACTCCACACACAAGGGTTTTCAAAAACAAAGAAAAGGGGGAGTGACATCACTGAGAAAAAGGAAGGGGGAGGAGGGAGGGAGAGGGAAAGAGAGAAGAGAGATATAGCCATAGGAGGTGATATATACATTCTACAGAGTGACGAGGGACGGACAGAGGCCACAAGACAAGGACACACGCCACAAGACGAAAACTTACCGCTGAGCTGCATACGATTCTTGATGAGATCGAGAGGCTGGGTAACAAACACTGCTGTGCACCTACACATGGACAAAACAGACCTCTAGCTCGGCTACTTAATCCCTATCGAATGCAAATGGCTACATACATCAAGCTGTAAATCTAGGTACAAGTTTCACTTTGCAACTTGCAACAATCGGCTTGAATCCGAAGGCAATTCCTCGCGAAAAATAAGACGACAAACTTGCGAAGGCAATAGTCTGCAGAATGCCTTGCACACTGACAATCAGCAGAGATTTAGGCTCACGATCTTCACCACAAACGGGCAGTAGTAGACAAATCAATCTCAAGCCTTTTCAGCCCTGAAAACGTTTTGTGTCCTGAAAGATTTCCCAATATTCCATGACAGTTGAAGCAGAATTAATTGGTGTGGCGGCAATAAGTCCGTAGAACTATTCCATAACACTTGTTCAATGTAATGTCGTATCTTGAAGAGCAGAAATTTTCCAGATTTCGTGTTTCTTTCAGATACACGGAATGTTTACACAAACCAAAAATAGTACAAAAACAACAAAAATTTAAAAAATTTCAACCAAACACTGGGCATGTTTTTCGCCCATTACTGCAACGCTTGTTATTACTGGGAGGAAAACTAACGCTAGAGTTTGCTCTCGGGACTGCGAAGCTTACCCAGCGAGGCCGCCGAGGACGAAGTTGGCCCTCCGTGGAATGGCCCCGGCTGGTACGTTGCTCTTGGGCGATGCGACCGTCAACTTGCGGCCTGCGCTGCTATCATTAGCCGCCATTTCTTCAACCCCTGGACTTGGTCCTTGGAGAGGAATGGATGGAGATGGTGGGAACTAGGTGGATCGGCAGATTGGCGACGTTTTATACGGCGGTAGACCAGCAAGTGAGACAACCGGACGCGCGCGATCAGCAACGCAATCGAATTAGTGCCCACCATGACGGCCGCGCGCACCGTGTACCAACACATGCAACGGCGGCACAACAATCGGCGAACTGCGCATGCGTGGTACCACTAAAAGGCCGGCTATAATTATAGTTCACTTGCCATAACTTTTTAACGCAGTACTATTTTTTAATATTATTTCGAGAGCGATTGTCGGCGCCCCCCTGTCGGCGCGTTCAACTGAACTGTGCTAGCAGAATGGATTTTGGTTTCCACGATATAGAGCTGCTGAAGGACCAGCCGCTGGGGACGGGTTCCTACGGAGCGGTGTGCAAGGCTCGTTGTGACGAGCTAGTCTGCGCCGCCAAGATCGTCCACCCTTCCCTTTACGTCATGGACGGCCCTGACGCAGTCGCCAAGAACGTCCCGCTGGAAAAGTTCCGTCAAGAGTGCCGCCTCCTGTGCGCCGTCAAGCACCCCAATATCGTGCAGTACCTCGGAACTTGGCGAGAGCCGGGCTCTGGGCGCAGTCTCGTTCTTCTGATGGAGCTCTGCGATCGGAGTCTCACCCGCTACCTGGAGGAGGGCCCCGACACTCCAGTTCCCTACCATATCCAGGTGAATATCATCCACGACGTATCACTGGCCCTGATCTACCTCCACAAGAACAACCTCATCCACAGGGACCTGTCCAGTAACAATGTCCTCCTTATGAGAGACCTACGGGCAAAGATCACCGACTTTGGCATGACCAAGTTTATGCACCATAGGCTCACTCCACTTACCCTGTGCCCCGGCACACAGGCCTACATGCCACCAGAAGCCCTAAACCAGACCCCAAGCTACACACACAAGCTTGACTGCTTCTCACTCGGGGTGCTTGCCATTCAGATTGTCACACGCAAGTTTCCCATCCGACGAGAGATTTGAGTCTAATTCCCAGCTCTCAGTCCCCTGCAGGATTCGTACTACAACCCAGTGTCCGAAGAGAAACGCCGGTGTCCACCCAATCAATGATTGAGGAGTCGAACCCCTTTTCTACCGATAATTGTCAGTGTCTCCTCCATACAAAGAGCAGGCACAGGCCGTTGGCCCGTTATTTGCCCGAGAAATGGCCCAAGTTGAAAAGACCTACTGAGCTCTACAAGCACAAAGGCATTGAACTACCACACATTTGTTGTACGAAGCCTCATTCGTAACACGTGCTTAAATGGTTAAGGCATCAGCCGACTAAAACAAACCAAAGCCAGTTTAACAAACATATAATGGATAGACCCGCGACAAAATAAGACTGTATGAGATGGACCACGCGAAGCTAGAAGGTAAAAAAGAGATAATGTCTCAGGAGAGAGGGAAGCAGCGGATAAGGTACGAAACGAAGCAGGTGGAGGAGAAAGTCGTATGAGAGATTCTCTCACAAAGTTGTCGCGATCCAGAGGACGAGTTGGAGAGGCTTGCCTGCCTCAAGAACTTCCTGGGTACAAGTGATTGTTTGCGTGAAGCTAGGCCGTCGACAGAGAAAAGAGCAAACAAGCCATTTGTTGTGTATGCTCCAGTGCATCACCAGGTACGAGAGGTCTTGCCACTACTCTCACTCGGAATGGCACAATGTTGCGGAGTCTCCCCTGCAGGAATTCAATAGACGGAGCAGCAGTCGTCATTGGTGGACTTGCCGCTCTACTGCCACAAGCAGCGCGGATAGAATTTCGTTTGCGGAATGTAAACATTTCAAGTGGTCCTGGAGCAAAAACGTCGCAAGTCTTGCATGGTGCTCACATCCTTTCGTCTGCGCTTGCTGTGGCGTGTGTAGCCTCAATGGCCACTTGGTGGGTAGCACTTCACCAAGGACCAATCAATCGTCAACCTACTACCACTGGATGACCGGGAGGGAAGAGGGAGCTGGTCGTTCAAGAGCCAGAACCATGACAACTGGCCACGGTGTAACACATGCCTGTCGGTTCTCACCGATTAAAACATCGGTAGTGGCGGTTGCGGAGACGATACGGCGTACAACGACTATTCTGAGGCTGTCGGGGATGGCCATGGATATAGCAGCTGCGTAGGTGGAGTGAAGATTGCCCAGACGACTACCAGCCCTGTCTGCAACCTATCAGCACAACTACCTTTGGTGCACCAGCTATACGTCACCTGGTGGAATCGAACCCAAGACTCGGGAACCTGGCACATACTCTTGTTCCATGAGCAATACTCTCTATCCGCCAGGCCCGCTGGCTGAAACGATCCTTGAGATCGCTTCACGACAGCCAAGGTAAGACAGTCTGCAGGAGATAGCAGTCCCCCCACGTCTCACGACCAACTCTGGTCAAGCTCTGTGGCGAAAGCCATGCAATCTGGGAGCTGTTCCCTAAACGAGCAGTGCGAGAAGCCTGGGAATGGCATGGTGTCAGGTATGCACTTAGAGACCTGGTGGTATGTGTTTTGTGGCAAAAGTTGCGTGATCTCTTTTGCAATCGAAGTCGGTGCATTGCGCGTGTCCAGAAGGCCTGGGGTCATC